ATTTAATAAAATATAATAGCTCTCTTTAAGCTTATCAGACTAGAGACTGGATTGAAATTTAATTAGAAAAAACAAAACCAATACCAAGTTTAGTGAATTTTGCTTTAATTTGTCAAATTTCAATTTAATCTCAATCTAAATCTGTAATCTGATACAGGTCGTGATTAGACTGGAAACTGAGATTAAAATTTAATCAACCAAAGCACAATTCATTGAACTTGAGATTAGTTTTCTTTCTTTCAACTGATTATAAATTTCAATCCAATTTCAATTTCAATCTCTAGTCTGATTACTTTAGGATTATTTTATTGTCGTAATCCCCTTTTCTTTGGAGTACATATTACAGATAAATCGCAACCACAGAAACCTCGAATGCATTTAAAAACTGGCGGAGACTTTTATCAAAACACCGAGAGCACCGAAAATTTCGCTCATCCTTGCGTTAAACAGGCACAAGAAATAGTTGAACGGCTTAAAGACAATAATGAAGAAAACAAATGGATGAGAAGTCAAGAAGAGGAGCGGAGGAAAGATGAGGAGATGAAAATGTTGGTATCGAAATTGGAAGATCTAAATAATCGACCACTCGAAGTTCCCGAATATCGTGATGCATATAAGGTATTTGTTGAAAATTAATTATTAAGCTCTATACATCTTAATATACGTTAAAATAGATATATCTCTATATTTCCGCGGTGATAAAAAAGAACATACAAGATAGCACTTTTGAGATAAAAGAAATTGATTCTAAATATTAATTTTTGTGGAAAAATGACACATTGTTTGTGTGGAAACAAAAAAAGTATCAAAATTTTAAGTGATGAAATTTACATAATCTTTGAAAACTTACATATGAGATGACATAGTTTTAAAGAATATGTTATAACTGAAAGTATAACATGGAAAGAAAGTGAAGTTATGTATGTTCGCTGTTTCAACGTTCCAATTTAGAAAGAATTTTGAAACTACTCTGAAAAGTTCTTAATTTTGCGATATGTTTTCTATTAACAATTATAGAATTATCTAAGATTTCATATAAAATGTAATTGTTAGGATTTTCCACGTGAACGACCGAAGATCGCGAAACCGGATACTGAGATAGGTCGCGCCGATGGCTCAAAGATGACTTCGCCATCGCGCTCTAAATTTTCTATAAAGATCGATCAGGATCCAGAGTATCATTCCAAGTATCTCGATTATCCCCGAGATCGTCCTATCTATCGTAAACCACCGATGATGCTGCGACCAACAGAAGTGTCTTCTTCTGGTCGTAGTAGCACGTGTTACGGCAAACCGATGCCTCATGAAAGCCGTATGTATGAATATGAACCTACTAGCGAAGTGAGATCCCAATATATTCCTTACGGATACATACCGAGAGTCGAGACGCTGAAGATGCCGGCTAATCTGCGGTTGGAGGGTAATCTTGATCTTCAACCGGAATATAGGAATGTTTATTGCGCAAAATACGATCGTCAAAGCTGCGATGATCTTAGAACTACTCGTGGTAGGGGTGATCGTAGTCCAATTACAAAGAAAGAACACTGGTTGAACAGTGGAGACAAAACCGTCGCGCAAGGACAGGATGCTTTTTGTGTGCTAGACACGCGGATCCACGAAGAGAACGTCACTGGGAAACCACCGCCTGCTAGTAGAAGGTACGTTTACATTTGTTGTATTAGAGAAAAAAAATGTTTGTTTGTAAACTACGAGATTAAAGTCAAAAATTTTTTTGGGATGGAAATTTGCACGAATAAAGAAATATTGTATTAACAGTATCGCTGGAAACCAATTGAAAATAATCTTGTTTATTCAGTAAAAATATTAATAAAACAAATACTCTTGTTTTAATGTTATTTAAAATGTTATTTATTTCATTATATAATAATATTGTTTTTGAAAATTACAAGATTATTTTTAATTAGACCATTAGCTAATGTTATATTAACAACATTATATTATATTATATTAATATCCTTTTCCGAGCGGAGACATGCAACAATTTAAGATTTCAAGAAGTAGCGTTAAATTTGAAAACTTTTCACTTCGCTTTGTACAGCACATTCGATTTCTAGAAGCTCCAAGTTGCCTCAAGCCGCAGCAGCACCGAGACCGACGCAATTGGATCTGGATCGTACTATCGTCACGAGGACCCGATCTCCCAGTCCAACGTATCGTTTACACGTTTGTGATGTTGATAACGAGCGACGAGGATTCGGTCGACTTGGACAGTCTTCCGGAAGAATACGCAGCCCTTCGGCTGACCGAGTAATTCGTGACGACGTTGCCAGACCATATTCGCCCAGTTTTGGCAGAAACAGACAAGACCGTCGCGCGAATGATCAACCATTTGTAATCCTAGATAACGCTTCAAAGAACATACCAGATAGAAATAGCGGTCGCAGAAAACGTACTGATAGAAGCCTCGATGTCCCAATACCGGGGGTCTCTCGAGGGAGACCCAAAACACCGTCCAGATGGATGCCACCGTGGTACGACAATACGAATACGATTTAGTCTACATTGTTAAAAGATCAAATTTAAACCAATTCCCTAAGTTAAATAACATTTTATTTTGAATTTCCAAGTGTGTTGAAACTATGTATTATTTTAATACAAAATAATTTTCTAATTAACTCATTTCTGTGATAGTATTGCTTAGTTTTAAAGTAAACAGCGTTTATATTTACATTATTAAAGTACACATTTAGATTGCACTTGGCGAGCACACTATCAATGCTATTATGTCATTTTATCGTTAGATATAAAATAAGAATAGAATGATGATGATGGCGCTGATAACGCATTCCTCATGAATAAAACATTAAATTTGATATATTTCTTGAGTTAAAATGTTGAACTTTATTGTTTTTAGTTAAATTAAATTAGTGATATATTGAATACAAACAGTGACGACCTATAGGAATCATCACAAAAGTAACTCAAATTAAGTAACAGTATATTCTTTAAATTATAAACGAAATTGCCGTCTGAAACTTTTTTGTTAAATAATGGATATTAAACTGACGGCAAATTTAACACTGCCTATAACTTTGCATATAAAATAACTGGAATTAATTAGCCAAATTTATTTTTAAATACATACTATAGAGTTGAAGCGACTGCTAATCTTTGCAGAGACTCTTGAAACGAAAAAAGTTTTGAAAGACATGTGTTTTCCTTTAATAACATTCATTTTGTTTTTACTAAACAATAAGCAATTTTTAACTAGACAAACAAAACTTGGAACTGGTCAGATTTTAAACTAAATATGACGTACGAGCTAAATGTGGAATAAATTTGTAATTCATATTAAATATTAAATATTAATTTGAAACATTGTTAGATTTTCTCTTATCTGGTTTGATATGACGAGCTAATTAATTATTACTATTAATTATTATTATAAACATTATATGATAAGATATCCTTGTATTACTGCCATTTGTTAATCTATAATCAAATATATAAACGATGTCCAGTTTTTGGTGTTATTTCGTTAATGTTAACTCTGCGATGCTTAGTGTGGCTAGTACTCAAGATTTCTTTTGCTTTATTATGCTACAACTTTTTTTATTAATGAAGATATATATATATATATATACTTGCTTGTTATAAATGCTTGTTATAAATATCTGATGTTTTGATTAAAAAAAAAATAAATTCATTTCTATAATATTTTTCACAATATTCAGTGTGGTAGATACATGAATTAAATGCTTTGGCACCACCCCAAAGCATTGAAATCGTTTTATACTTTGCAGTTTTCTAAACATATATATTATAAAAATCATTAAATCATTTACAGATATTAAATGAAAATCGGATGATAGAAAAAGCAATTACCATAAAATATTAAGTCGATAGTCATGCTAATTAAGAAAGTTGCAACTCATTGTAACTTTAATTGGATTAATGCGATTCAGTTATATCGCTAAGAAAATCTTATGCTTGTACATAATTAATCATAAACTGATATCGTGGGCTCTACTTTCACCAACCTTTTAATTTCAAATTCTGTTTATTATTATCCGCCACCAATTTAATTCCTTTAAGTTTCTTATGTAATTATTCAGCTTTGGGGAGGGATTTTACCTTAGTATATCGATTTGATGCTCAATTCAACATCGCGCGAATAAAAATTGATTGGTACAAATCAACCAATTGTGCATAATTGCACGCTCGAATATACTTTTTTTAAAATTGGCCTTTCAATTTGGCGTCTTTCTTTTGGCGCGAAGAAATCGCACGTTTCTTTTCCTTCTCCTCTAATGAATAACTGCAATATTCAAGAAAATAGATGTTTCATAATCCCGACTGAGAATTCTTTTGCTGTGAGCAATTAACTTTGTTGTTTGCTGTGCAACGTAATAACAGCATGAAATCAAACCTTTTTTTTTATCCTTTTATATTTGACAATAACTTAGTTTCTTGACTGCGTAAATTATAAGGCTATGCATATAATAACTTTTGGATTTATTGAATTATATACAATTCAATAAGAAATAACTCCTTTTTAGGTACAAAAAAGTAATCTTTTCCTGTCGTTCTTTTTATGTCTTATTGCATCACGATTCAGAAAAATTTGAAGTTAGTTTCAAAGTAAGTTGATAGTTGTAAACAAAAATTAATGGATCTAAATATTACTTGGTAAAACGGAGGAATTTCATAGAAATCGTGATAAAAAAACATTCTCATAATTTCTTATAATATTTAAAATATTTTCATATTTATAAAGAGTTATATTTATAAAAGAGTTATATTTATAAAAAGTTTAAAAAAATACTCCTTGAGCTTTTTCAGATTTTATAAGCTCTCTTCGGAAATTAAAGAAAGAG